GGGAAAGTGTCCGAACTGGAAGGGGGGGGAAAGTGTCCGGACTGGAAGGGGGGGAAAGTGTCCGGACTGGAAGGGGGGAAAGTGTCCGGACTGGAAGGGGGGGAAAGTGTCCGGACTGGAAGGGGGGGGAAAGTGTCCGGACTGGAAGTGGTTAAAGGGACCAAAGTGGATTTGTACATATTTTTGATGTATTATGCTACGAAATAACACATACTGGTGAAAAAAAATTTTTTAGGTGAACACAAAATATTTTTTATATTGGGTTTTGTTTTTTTGCCACCATTTGGAGCTTGTAATGAAGTGTCTGGTGACAGGTACGTTTACAGTGAACCAATATTCCATTTGAAACCTTCAAAAAATAAAGGCTCCAAGTCAAAGTAAATACCACACCTAAATAAACCTTGACCAAGATCCGCCATCATCCAGTCCTCTGTCCAATACTCTCATTGGACAGTGGTGGTTATCCATGAAGTAAAGGTGAATCTGGCTTCAGTAACAATGTGAAACTATACCAGAGGGGCACAGGAGAGACTATTGACTATTTTTTAGACCTTTAGTTTTGGATAGACGCAGGGGTGGACTGACAACTCATGGGGCAATAGGGGATCATGGGCCCCTGTGTCCTTGCCCAAACTCAAAAAAGCCTATGAAAACGGTACCAGGGGCATCTCATGGGGCCCCCTACTGACCCCGTGCCCTCGGGCAGTGCCCGAGTTTCCAAATGGTCAGTCCACCCCTGGTTAGACGTTTGATTTTGGTTTGGTAATGGCAGGTGAATATCTGGTTAATAAAAGTCATTCATTTATAGCGTCTTGTAGTGTTTGCTGCTGGATTGTTCCTTTTAAAAGGTTCCAGTGGAGAACAAATTGACTTTAATTTTCTCACAAGGTTAGAGAATAGTTTTCTGGTGCAATTCATATGATTTATGACCAAGAAGGATGCTGCTCTATAATTTAATCTTCGTGTATTGCTGCTGAATTCGCCTCTACATGATTCATTATTGGGCACAATTCTCTTAATAGTAGGCCCACCCTGGCATGTAGTTTGCTGAGGAAAACGTACATAGCTACCTACATGGCAGATATGCAACACATACAGTATAATGGCATGGACAGCTAGAACCTTAAGAGGTGTCAGTGGCACCATAGAAGGGGATGTCCCATTGCATTGACCAGGCCTGCTTTACAGAGGTAAGAGAAATTTTATACCTCATACATATATCTTTCTTAAGGCAATTTTTTTTTTTTTTTGCTTTTGAGTATGCAGTACAAAGTATAAAGTATACAAAATCATATGAAATACAACGGTACCCATACAGCTAAAGTATGGTACACAATAATATTTAGTATCTTACGGAAGTGAGTCCCCCCCTCACGTTTTTATAAATATTTGATTCTATCTTTTCATGTGACAACACTGAAGAAATGACACTTTGCTACAATGTGACGTAGTCAGTGTACAGCTTGTATAACATGGAAATTTGCTGTCCCCTCAAAATAACTCATCACACCGCCATTAACGTCTAAACCGCTGGAAACAAATGTGAGTCCACCCCTAAGTGACAAGGTCCAAATTGGGCCCAAAGTGTCAATATTTTGTGTGGCCGCCATTATTTTCCAGCACTGCCTTAACGCTCTTGGCATGGAGGTCACCAGAGCTTCACAGGTTGCCACTGGAGTCCTCTTCCACTCTTCCATGATGACATCACAGAACTGGTGGATGTTAGAGACCTTGCGCTCCTCCACCTTCCATTTGAGGATGCCCCACAGATGCTCAATAGGGTTTAGGTCTGGAGACATGCTTGGCCAGTCCATCACCTTTACCCTCGGCTACTTTAGCAAGGCAGTGGTGGTCTTGGAGGTGTGTTTGGGGTCGTTATGTTGGAATACTGCCCTGCGGCCCAGTCTCCTTAGGGAGGGGATCATGCTCTGCTTCAGTATGTCACAGTATATGTTGGCATTCATGGTTCCCTCAATGAACTGTAGCCCCCCCCCAGTGCCGGCAGCACTCATGCAGCCCCAGACCATGACACTCCCACCACCATGCTTGACTGTAGGCAAGACACACTTGTCTTTGTACTCCTCGCCTGGTTGCCGCCACACACGCTGACACCATCTGAACCAAATCAGTTGATGTTGGTGTCATCAGACCACAGGACGTGGTTCCAATAATCCATGTCCTTAGTCTGCTTGTCTTCAGCAAACTGTTTGCAGGCTTCTTTCTGGACAAAGAGGCTTCCTTCTGGGACGACAGCCATGCAGACCAATGTGATGCAGTGTGCGGTGTATGGTCTGAGCACTGACAGGCTGACCCCCCACCCCTTCAATCTCTGCAGCAATGCTGGCAGCACTCATATGTCTATTTCCCAAAGACAACCTCTGGATATGATGCTGAGCACGTGCACTCAACTTCTTTGGTGGACCATGGCGAGGCCTTTTCTGACAGGAATCTGTCCTGTTGAATCACTGTATGGTCTTGGCCACCGTGCTGCAGCTCAGTTTCAGGGTCTTGCCAATCTTCTTATAGCCTAGGCCATCTTTATGTAGAAAACAATTTTCAGATTCTCAGAGAGTTCTTTGCCATGAGGTGCCATGTTGAACTTCCAGTGACCAGTATGAGAAAGTGAGAGCGATAACACCGAATGTAACACAACTGCTCCCCATTCATACCTGAGACCTTGTAACACTAACAAGTCACATGACACCGGGGAGGGAAAAATGGCTCATTGGGCCCAATTTGGACCTTGTCACTTAGGGGTGGACTCACTTTTGGTGCCAGCGGTTTAGACATTAATGGCGGTGTGTTGAGTTATTTTGAGGGGACAGCAAATTTACATGTTATACAAGCTGTACACTGACTACGTCACATTGTAGCAAAGTGTCATTTTTTCAGTGTTGTCACATGAAAAATATATAATAAAATATTTACAAAAATGCGAGGGGTGTACTCACTTCTGTGAGATACTGTATATGGGTCCTGGATGGAGGAGGCATGTGTCACTTTGGGCTTTGGTCCCTTTAAGGGGGACAAAAAAAAAGCACAGTTGGCGTACTCAAGGATTCTCAACCATGCAGAGTGAGGGGTTCCAGGGTGATCCAATAAAGGGGGAGAACTGTCTAAAAGTTTCCCCAGGATTGCTGTGTCCTTATATGGGACCTGGAATTCAGAGGCTCAGAGAGATTTTGGGTGGGAAAGAGCCTCCAACCCCAATTATGGGTACTTCAGGCCTGAATAGGTTAACTCACCTGCAGGAGAGGGCTGAAAGAGCAGAAAAGTCAGAAGGTGTCAGTGAGGTGTGATGTGGAGCAGGATAGGTTTGTGAGGAACAGTGTGTGCTGTTTAATGCTAAGCCCTTTTCCTTGGACCCCCTGAAGCCGGCAGGGACTTTAAATACCCTGTTAAGCATACAGGGGTCGCAGGGGACACAATTGTGGCCCCATGTAGACCTGGATAGGAGGGTCAGCAGTGGTGGCATATACTGTAGGGTAACAGATCCCCTGTGCTGCATGGTTCCCCCCTTTCCTCTCCCGCAGGCTGCTGCGGGGGATCTGTCTGGATGAAGAGAGGGAAAAGGGTTGGTAAGGCCTCATGTACACTGTTGCTCCTAAACATTAGTTTAGGAGCTTTTGGCATTTTTTTGCCAAAGACCCTGAACTCAACTCAATAAAAGCCTGTGTGTCCATGTACATATAGGCTTTTATTAGGGTTTAGCAGCAGCATGGGCAGTTAAATGTCCCTCTCCTGATCAGAATTGCATTCAGGAGAGGGGTGTTTTGGCCAAAAAATAAAAGCCAAACACGGCAAAAAACACATGTAAATGCGCCTCAGCACTGGCCATGTTTAGCACTAGGGTGTTTATTCATTTCAATGGCAAGTACTCTGGACGATGAAATTAATAAACCTCCAAGAGTTTTTTCTCCTGCCAGTAGAGTTAACATCTATGGCAGTTCCAGCATACATGTAGCCTACATGTGTAATTTACTGGCCCCTTCCTGGTCTTAATGAATAGAGTCGGCGATCCGTACCAACTGTGTTTACTATGCTTCAGTTTATAAATGAATTGGAAGCTCTGTACAGAGTATATTGATTTTGTGCAGCTGGGGCTGCAGAGATGGAGATTGAGGACTGTGTCCTAATCTCCTTTCCCTGTCTCAAAGGTGAAACATCAGAAGTCTGTTTAGGCCCCTGATATCTCACCAAAGCCCCCCCCCCCCCCCCCGACTGGGCTCCTAAACATTTTTCAAAAAATAAAAAAAATAAAATTGTTAAAAAAAAATAAAATAAATAAAATGGTCAAAAATAAAAACAAAAATAAAATACCAAAAATAAAAAAACAACTGACACCAGTGGCGGAACTACCAGGATCACAAAGGATCGGGCTTTGGTGGTCCACCACTATGGGGGGGGCCCGGATGGAGGTCAGGGGGGCCCTTTATGATATCTTGCACCGGCGTTGTCACGATCATGGGTCAGGCTCAAAGACCAGTTGCTATAGCAGTGAAAAGGCTCACCTGAAATCAGCAGGATAGGTACACAGGCAGGTCACCGTGGCGGAGGAGTGGGCTCACCAGAAGTGTGGAGTCTAAGTACCAACCCGTGTTCACCAGAGCTCCTGATGGTGGAGATGGATTTGGCTGCGTGTTAGCACCAGGTCGCGGTCCTCAGGATCACCTCACCAGGAGGTGAGCAAGTGGAGGTCCAGTAGCATATTAGGCAGGTAAAGATCAAACGGAAGCGTGGTCAGTAAACAAGCCAAGGTCGGTAAGGAGCAGTCGCAGGTTGGGATCAGGCAGAAGAGTAGTCGAGAACAAGCCAAGGGTCAACAACAAGTGGTAGCAAATTATGGATAATAACAGAGAAGACAAGGAGCAAGAAACTGGCTGGAGAGCACAATAATCTGGCAAACATGTGCAGAGACAGGAAGTATATCAGGAAGTTCATGGGAGAAGCAAGGGGTTCATGTTCATGATAAACAAGGTCAAGGTAGGATCATCCAAATAATGTCAAGGGAACTGTCCAGCCTTCCAGGTGGCTCAGCAAGAAGAAACATCACCTCTCTCTCCACTGAAGGCCCAAGTTCGGACCCAGGCTCTGAAGGAACTGGTTACACCTCTGCTGTTAAGGAACAAGTTTTACTGACGGTGAGCCGAAGCTTTACTTTGTTCCTGTCAGGAATGGACTCAGCACTGGTGGTGGGACTCACCTGCCGTGTGGGCTGCAGTACCAGGGCTGACCAGCGGGTGCTCTCAGCAGCCAGAAGCTCACTCCTGCAGTCAGCCAACACCTGGGGCTGATTGCAGGAGGTGTATTTAAGGAATGACCAGGCCTGTGATCAGTGCCTTGGTGTATGTTTCCCATGAGCCCCTGTACCTTGTATCCTGTGTTCCTGTTCCTCTGCCTACCTGATTTGTTGCCGACTCTGCATTGTTCCTGACCCTGCTGACCGTCTCCTGTTTAACCCCTGGCTTGCCTGACCATCCTTCTGCCTGATCCTCTGTACCGCGCTGCCCGTGAGTCCCTGAACCCGGCTTGTGACCCTGACCATTCTCTGCCTGATCCTCTGTACCGCGCTGCCCGTGAGTTCCTGAACCCGGCTTGTGACCCTGACCATTCTCTGCCTGCTCCTTCGGTACCTCGCTGCCCGCACGTTGCTGACCTGGCCTGCCTGACTACGCCTGACACTACCCAGACGATCCATCCATCCTGCACGGATCCAGCCATCCCTGCTCACACCTTCTGCCTCTTCACATCAGGCTTCCTACCTGCATATACCTCTGGCGGATCCCTCTACCACGAGCAGGTGTACTCAGGGGCTGCGACCTGGTTCCAGTCTGCTCCAAGTCCTTCCCCACCATCAGGGGCCCTGGTGAATAAGCAGACTGGGACATAGACTCCGCGCCCTGGGGAATCCTGTCCTGAGGACTGCTAGGGGTATCACCAGAACGATATGGCTGGCCTGACCCTTCCACCTCTCCAGCCCTGACTGCGCCTGTGTTCCTGCACATACTAAGATTAGTGGAAGGTTGGTTTATTTACTGTGCGTTGTATATTTGGGTAGTTAATAATAAATTATATTATTATATCCTTCCTGAAGCCTGTTACTTCCCTGTGTCAGTCCACACATTTCTGGTCATACCCGGATCCCTGACAGTTCCAGGGTTTATGGACTGCTTTTGTTTGGTATGCTGAAGAAATCGTTTTCTGTTTGCCTGTTTTGAATTAAAAAAAAAATAAAGGCCTCTTTGGTTTTACAAATTCAGTCGGCTGGTGATCCAGAACCTAGAATATCACATGAAAATCAGGGGTTCAGCATTGGCAAGCGTTACACGCAGTACCCCTTGCATATTTACTTAGATTGTACGCCCCTTGAGGGTTAGGGACTGATGTGAATGTACAATATATATGTAAACTGACAGCACTATGTAAGTACCTGAAATAAATAAAGAAAGAAAGAAATAAAATTGTTGAACAAAGGCAAACGAGGGCGCACTCTCATCGTGCATTACCGTGGTACACCACGTATTTAATAAAAACATATAGAAATATACTCACAAACCAAAAGAGAATAAAAACAGAGCAGGTAGTCCGTAATGACAGTCCAATGGAATACTAAACCCTTGATGGAAATCTAACGCGTTTCGGGAGACGAACTCCTTTCTTCGGAGCTAAAATGTAGACCTGCTGATCCAACATATATAGAGCAGGTCTAGATTTTAGCTCTGAAGAAGGGAGTTCGTCTCCCGAAATGCGTTAGCCTATCCCAGGGGTAGGCAACCTGTGGCTCTCTAGCTGTTGTGGAACTACATTTTGAGGCATTGCAAAGATTACAATACTGAAAGTTACAGCTATGACTTGCAGAGGCATGATGGAACTTGTAGTCCTGCGGCTCTCAGGTTGCCTTACATCTCCCATCCAGGGTTTAGTATTCCATTAGATTGTCATTAGAGATGAGCGAATTATTCAAAAATTCGATTCGGCTGATTCGCCGAATTTGCGGAAGAAATTCGATTCGATGCGAATTTATTCGCTGCGAATTTAACTTATTAAAAGGGTTTCTAGGCTTCAGAGAGCCTTTATATTAGTGCAGAACACTGTACCTTTAATTTAAATGCCCTTGGAGTCTGCTGGGGAAGAGAAATAATACTGTCAGTCAGTATGACATGCAGATGAGTGCCGTCGATCTTAGAATCACCGCACACTTCACTCATTTGGGCAGTCACGGGGCACGACGAAGAAGAAGAAAGAAGAAGAAGAAGAAGAATGAAAAGAAGAAGAAGAAGAATGAAAAGAAGAAGAAGAAGAATGAAAAGAAGAATGAAAAGAATGAAAAGAAGAATGAAAAGAAGAAGAAGAAGAATGAAAAGAAGAAGAAATGAAAAAGAAGAAGAAGAATGAAAAGAAGAATGAAAAGAAGAAGAAGAATGAAAAGAAGAAGAATGAAAATAAGAATGAAAAGAAGAAGAAGAATAATGAAAAGAAGAAGAAGAAGAATGAAAAGAAGAATGAAAAGAAGAATGAGAAGAAGAATGAAAAGAAATGAAGAAGAAGAATGAAAAGAAGAATGAAAAGAAGAAGAAGAGAATGAAAAGAAGAAGAATGAAAAGAAGAAGAATGAAAAGAAGAATGAGAAGAGAAGAATGAAAAGAAGAGAGAAGAAGAAGAATGAAAAGAAGAAGAAGAATGAAAAGAAGAAGAAGAAGAATGAAAAAAGAATGAAAAGAAGAAGAAGAAGAATGAAAAGAAGAAGAAGAAGAAGAATGAAAAGAAGATGAAAAGAAGAAGAAGAAAAAAGAAGAATGAAAAGAAGAAGAATGAAAAGAAGAAGAAGAAGAATGAAAAGAAGAAGAAGAAGAAGAATGAAAAGAAGAAGAAGAAGAATGAAAAGAAGAAGAAGAAGAAGAAGAAGAATGAAAAGAAGAAGAAATGAAAAAGAAGAATGAAAGAAGAATGAAAAGAAGAAGAAGAAAAGACGAAGAATGAAAAGAAGAATGAAAAGAAGAAGAAGAATGAAGAAGAATGAAAAGAGAAGAAGAATGAATGAAAAGAAGAAGAAGAAGAAGAAGAATGAAAAGAAGATGAAAAGAAGAAATGAAGAAGAATGAAAAGAAGAAGAAGAATGAAAAGAAAAGAATGAAAAGAAGAAGAAGAAGAATGAAAAGAAGAAAAGAAGAAGAATGAAAAGAAGAATGAAAGAAGAATGAAAGAATGAATGAAAAGAAGAATGAAAAGAAGAAGAAGAAGAATGAAAAGAAGAAGAAGAAGAAGAAAGAAGAAGAAGAAGAATGAAAAGAAGAATGAAAAGAAGAAGAAGAAAGAATGAAAAGAAGAAGAAGAAGAATGAAAAGAAGAATGAAAGAAGAATGAAAAGAAGAATGAAAAGAAGAATGAGAAGAATGAAAAAAAGAATGAAAAGAAGAAGAAGAAGAATGAAAAGAAGAAGAATGAAAAGAATGAAAGAGAAAAAGAAGAAGAAGAAGAATGAAAAGAAGAAGAAGAAAGAAGAATGAAAAGAGGAATGAAAAGAAGAAGAAAGAAGAATGAAAAGAAGAATGAAAGAAGAATGAAAAGAAGAATGAAAAGAAGAAGAAGAAGAATGAAAAGAAGAATGAAAGAATGAAGAAGAATGAAAAGAATGAAAAGAAGAATGAAAAGAAGAATGAAAAGAAGAATGAAGAAGAAGAAGAAGAATGAAAAGAAGAATGAAAGAAGAATGAAAAGAAGAATGAAAAGAAGAATGAGAAGAAGAATGAAGAAGAATGAAAGAAGAATGAAAAGAAGAATGAAAGAAGAATGAAAAATGAAGAAGAAAAGAAAAGAAGAAGAAGAAGAATGAAAAGAAGAATGAAAAGAAGAAGAAAGAAGAATGAAAAGAAGAAGAATGAATGAAAATGAAAAGAAGAAGAAGAAATGAAAAGAAGAAGAAGAAGAATGAAAAGAAGAAAAGAAGAATGAAAAGATGAAGAAGAATGAAAAGAAGAAGAAGAAGAAGAAGAAGAATGAAAAGAAAAGAAAATGAAAAGAAGAAGAATTCCAGTACAGCAAAAGTGTATCTGCAGAGAGCTCGCTATTTCTGACAGTTCTCTGACAGTTCCTTCACATTTACAGCGGTTGAAACATTGTATCTATTTGTTTCCGAATAAAAACATCTGTATCCTAAATGGAAACAAATAGATACAATGTTTCAACCGCTGTAAATGTGAAGGAACTGTCAGAGAACTGTCAGAAATAGCGGAGCTCTCTGCAGGGACACTTTTTTGCCGGCTGTAGAAGGATGAAAATCGGCCGATCGGGAAAAAATTCGATTCGCGCATCCGAAGTTTGCTAATATTCGGATTCGGTGCGAATCGAATTTTTCCTAATATTCGAAACGAATTCCACTTCGCCAAGTTCGATTCGCTCATCTCTAATTGTCATTACGGACTACCTGCTCTGTTTTTATTCCCTTTTGGTTTGTGAGTATATATCTCTATGTTTTTAATAAATACGTGGTGTACCATGGTAATGCACGATGAGAGTGCGCCCTCGTTTGCTTTTGTTCACCAGTGCCAAGATTTCCCGATCTTTGAAGGGCTGCACCTCAACATTTGACATTCAGAATTCCTTCTATTCTGCATGAAGATTAGAGTGCTGGTTTTCGTTTGTACTTTTGGATTGCATTTACTAATTGTTGTAACCCAGGGGCGGACTGACCATTCGAGCACTCGGGCACTGCCCGAGGGCCCGGGGTCAGTAGGGGCCCCATGAAAAATGCCGCTGGTACCTTTTAGAGGCTTTTTTGGGTGTGCTTTGAGTATGGGCAAGGACACAGGGGCCCCATGATCCCCTATTGCCCAGGGGCCCCATGAGTTGTCAGTCCGCCCCTGTAAGAGACTAAAAATGCACGCTTCATGACCAGAGGTCATTGACGTTAGGATATCCAGTCCAAATTTAGCAGGGTCTGAAAAACGTCAAAATTGTTCGAAGCCACCCAGACCAATGGATATACAAAATCAAAGTCAATGTACCACACACTCTTTCAGGATCAATATCAGACATGTGCACACCGGAAATTTTTGTTTCATTTCATTTCGGATGCATTCGTTCATCGAAGAATTTTGTTTCGCCATATCCATTGTCCCAATTTGTTTTCTTCTCTGTGTCCCCATTGCAGCCTGAGATTTTGTAGACTAGCTGGTGTCCTCTACTGAGCATGGTCCAGTTTCAATTCCCTTCTAAGCTCTTCATTTCCTTCATTTTCTTATCTGTGCAATCCACCTATGGTCACACATTTTTTAGTCATGTGACTGGCAAAGGGCAAATCTGGCTCACAATTGGCATCCCAATTCATCCC